ATGCTCTCCATCCAACCTCACTGAGCTCCAGCTGTTTTGCAAGGAAGAATGAGCAAGAATCTCAGTCTCTCCCTGTGCAAAACTGATAGAGACATACCACGAGCCACTTGCAGCTGTAATCGCAGCAAAAGGTGGCGCTACAACAAAGCATTAACGCAAGGGGGCCGAATAACTTTGCACACTCAATTTTTCAGTTTTTTATTTGTTAAAAAAGTTTAAAATATTCAATAAATTTCATTCCACCTCACAATTGTGTCCCACTGGTTGATTTTTCACACAAAAAATAAAATTTCATTTCTTTATTTTTGAAGCCTGAAATGTGGCAAAAGGTTGAAAAGTTCAAGAGGGCCAAATACTTTTGCAAGGCGATTAAGGGCAGATGTACAAATAACTAAACTGTCTTTATGTATTTCATTTTCTCCATCTGGTCATGCTGAAAGGTCAGAGAGATGAAGAAACAACATCTGCTGATGAAGCTGACACCTCCATCGGTACAGTCACCTGCAGCCACAGTCTTTTCTATTGTTCTTTCCAGTTTCCATCTTTAGAACCTGTTTACTGCAGCAGATATAGATCTAATGCTGTCTAACTTTTAACATAACACTCAGATAAACATTTTTAAATTGAAAAGAGGATGTTTTGTTTTAGTGTAACAATACCTAAATCTCATTTTTTAAACCATGCAATTTTGACTTAAAATCACATTTTCTAAAATGTAATATTTAATGAAGAAAGGGCAAGTGTTTAGTATCAACACTTTAATAATACTGTAAATACCATAGCTTAATTAGAATGCACCAAATGGGTCTTTAAATAAATCAAATCAGGAAATTTTTCTGTTGATTTATATTTTCCATCTGTCCCAACTGAATCATGTTTCTGTGAGCAGGTTCCATTAAACCCACTGTGACTCTGCAACACAACTGGTCTCAGATATTCAGAGGTGAGACAGTCAGACTCACATGTGGGATCCGGGGAGGAGGAGGAACTCAGTGGGAGTATAGATGGAGACAAAGCTACAGATATTCACTAACATCCAGTGAAAACTGGATCAACACAGTTACTGAGTCTGACAATGGAGAATACAGATGCATTGGTAGAAGAGGCTCTGATGTTACACAGTGGAGTGATCCCTTCAGACTGACAGTTTCATGTGAGTTAAACGGATAACAACTGTGTTTAAAAGATCTTATAGTTGATATTTTTCTCTGAATTATCTAAACAATACAACAGGAAACATTTCTTTCTCCAACATTTCTCTAAAGCTCTCCGGGGCATTTAGTGATAATTAGTTCCTTAGATTATTAGTTCCACTCCTGTCTTTTTCCATGTAAACTCAACAGCATCTAAACCCAGAGCCACAGTGAGAGCAGCTGAAAGAATCATAACAGCAGGAGGCAGAGTAACACTGAGCTGCTCTGTGGACACATCTGATGGTTGGAGCTTTGACTGGTTCAGACAGGAGTCAGGATCTTCTCCTCCTCAGCTCATAGAGAATAAACCAGACAGATACCTCACAGTCTCAGAGGGAGGTGTGTACAGC